TATACCAGCTTGCGGGTGGGAAATAATTGAATAGAATATTGTTCTCCACCCAGAAGGTCCTTTCTTCTCACCACCTCCTTTGAGGTAAATCTTCAAGGCTAGAGACTTCTAACACATAACTCTTGTCTTCCAGTACAGCTCAATCCTCAGTTTGTCTTCTTTTATGATGTCTAGAGCAACCTGTCTGCACATTCTGGCAAAAGTTTGACGTTCCTAATGCAGCAATTGCTCGAGAGAAATATTTCCATGAGATTTTCTCCTAAGGAGTGTTTTTCACAGGCAAGGCATACTGAAAGGAAGGGTTTCCAACTTCATAAACTAAGTGACATCAATGAGTTTCATTTCCCTAAAAACTAACATTCATTTCCACATCATGCAGCTGTCATCTCATTGAGATCATACACCAGCAAAGAGGCTTGCAAGTCAAGGGTAAATTAGGTAATAGTACAGATTTTAGAACAGTCAACTTGGACAATAAAGTATTTGGAAAGAATGGTGATACTGAACAATGACTTCATGGTTTTCTTTTTGTCAATGTTCTTTTCAAGTTCATTAAAGCCACTTCTGTGTTTTGAGGTAAATCTAAGTTACTGTATTCTCTTTGTTTCTTCATTCAATTAAACAAGTTGACATAGGAAACTGATGGGTACTCAAAGATTTTCTGTTTTCAGCAACTCAAAAATACCTACCTGGTATCTTGCATTTTGAGTCAAAGGATGTCAATGTGTCTTTTGAAGTCACTGAATGACAATTATTATCTATAATGTACTGAGCAGAAGTTTGGATCAAAGGGAAAGACCTAGCTTAAGGCTCATGATAATGATTGGAAAAAGGATAGGGTCTGCTCCTGATCGGTCCATTCTTTCTTTATATCTCACCTTTTTATCCATATCCCACTAGAGTCTTAAATTGTGTTCTAAGTTTTCCTAGTTAGGGTCCAGCAATCCTGTAGAGTTTAGTTTCTTTTCCTGATAAAATATCCTGATAAAGCCACTTAAGGAAGGAAGGGCTTCACTCTGCTCAATGTTCAAGGTTACAATCCACCACGGCAGGAATGAAGCTTGAGGGAGCTAGTCACATGCTGCCCATTGTCAAGAAACAGAGAGCAACGAGTGCTTGTGCTAGGTGCACTTTCTTCTTTTTAATTCCACCCAGGATCTTATCCCAGGAATGGTGTCATCCACAGCAGGTGGGTTTCCAGATCGATTAACCTAATCAAAATAATCCCTCTGTTCTGGCCGGTTTTTTGTCAATTTGGCATAAGCTAAAGTCATTTGGAAAAGGGGAGCCTTAATTGAGAACATTTTCCTACAAGACTGGCTTTTGGAGAAGCCTGTGGGGCATTTTTTTAATTGATGATTGATGTGGGAAATCCCACCTCACAGTGGGTGGTACCATTTGTAGGAATTTGGTTCTGGTCCTGACATATATAAACAGTGAGCTAAGCAAGCCATGAGGGGCAAGCCAGTAAGAAGCAATCCTCCACAGTCTCTGCCACCAGGTTCCTGCCGTGAGTTCTTATCCTGACTTCCTGGATGATAGACAGATACATGGAAGTGTAAGCTGAAATAAACTCTTTTCTCAAAAAAAGCTTTTGGTCATGGTGTTTTATCACAGTGATAGAAACCCTGACTAGAAACACCTTACAAACATGTAACCTAACCTAGATAATCCCTCTCAGGTGTGGCTGAAAGCTTGCTCCTGGATGATTATAGATCCTGTCAACTTCACCATTAACAAAAGTTGACAATCACCCACACATTTGATTCACCCACCTACAAGCCAAGCTACATGTAACCCTGAGAAAGAGAGAGAAAGAGAGAAAGAGAGAGAGAGAGAGAGAGAGAGAGAGAGAGAGAGAGAGAGAGAGAGAGAGAGATCCAGGATAGTGGCCTTCAGACAGTAGAGGGTATCAGAATTGCCTGAAGGATTTAAGAGCATAGACAGCTGATCCTTCTCCCAGGATTTCTGGCTCAGTATGCCTGGATAAAGCCTAAATGGATTCTATTTAATATATTTTTAGGAGTTGCTGATTGGTCTGGCCCCTTAAACAAATAGTGAGTGCTATTAGCTACCCTGCAAATAGTTGTTCAATGTTCCTTTTTCACCATAATTTAAATTCTTTATAAAGGCCTATATATTCTCCATCAGCTAGTCTTTAACTTACTCTTTTTATTTAAAAAAAGTTATATGTGTTTGTGGGGGTGGATATATGCCTATGAAAGCAAATATCCCAAGAGGAAGGTGTCAGATCCCCTGGATCATGAGACATGGGGACTTGTGTTTCACCTCATATGTATGCTGGGAACTAAACGCAAGTCCTCTGCAAGAGCATCATGTGCTCTTAATCACTGAGTCTTTTCTTTAGTCTCTGGCTTTGTTTAAAACCTTGCTATCCTTAGTGAGGGACACACACACACACACACACACACACACACACACACACCAAGTGCTTACAAGTACAACTGCATGTGTGTGTCAAATTCATAATCTTACTCTAAAGAATACATTGCATACAATTTAATAATAATAAACAATGTATTTACCTTTGCTATATTCTAACATAGCTAGTTGACTCTTACAGGAGGCTTTTGATCCTTTAAGATACATTTTTCTTAATCTTTATCTGTAATCAAAATCTCTATCATATTTCCTCCCTCCCTTCCTCCCTTCCTTCTTTCCCTTCCTTTCCTTCTTTTATGAGCCTTCAAGAATGCACAAAAATCAGTCTTGTCTGTCTGGTGGGACAAGCCTGTATGTCACATTTTCAGTAGACTGAAGCAGGTAATTTAATGAAATCTCTTCTCGAACTTTAAAAAATGGAGGCTGTGAATTCAGCTTTGTTGGTAAAGTTTCAGCATTAGCACCACATGGAGGAGATTGTGGGGGTGCAGATCTATGATCCCATTTCTCAGGAAGTAAAGGCAGAGGGATTAGTAGTTTGAGAAAGTTCAAGGCCAGTCTGGGCTACTTTAGAGGATTTAATGAGATCCTCTCTTAAAATAATATAATGTTTTTAATTGAATTTAATTTAAAAACTAAAAAAAAAGGACTGTAGATATAGCTTACTGGTAACGTGGCTTCCTAACATGTGACTACCTCTACTTTCAATCCCAAGTAACACACACACACTCCAAATTTAATCTTCAATGATTAAGCCATAGAAAAATGTCCTTTCAATAAGACATAAGGTTTGTTGACTCCCAATCCAGGCCATCTATAAAACAATGAATCAAACTTCAACTTGCAATGTTTGTCAACATCTTTGGTATAAGACTTTCCCCAGAGAGAGCAGTTACAAATGTTCTGGTGTACAAGTAGATAAATGAGGGGTAATTACAAAGCAAATTAATTAGAAATTATCAAATTTATTTCCTCAAAGATATTTCATTTAATTTAATCCCCAACTCATTTAATCAAGTTTATGCCATCAATGTTTTAATTGTGGACAGTGTCTACCAGGCAGCTTTAAAAATTCCTGAAAAATCTGACCTTTGGCCCTTTTGGACTTAACTGACTTCCACACAGCACTGCTATTGTTCTAAACTCTGCCACTGTGTTGTTCGACGTTCCCGCTTTGGTACCTGATGAACACATCTTACCTTCCAATCCAGCTAACTGGATCCTTCAGTAAAGACCCAGCGGGGCCTCCTGCTGACAGACCTGTGCTTCTCTCTGTGAGCAAAAAGCCCCCATCTTCCTACCCGGACCCTGAGGACCCCACCCTTCTCTCTGCTGTCCCCTAGTCACTGTGCTCTGTGGTACTTGGACTGCCAGACTAGAAGATCTGCGGCCTTCTTTAACTTGATGCATCCCACCGATCTCTTCCATCAGGGCTCTGGATTCAGTTTCTGGTACCACAAAAATGGGAAAAACAGTTCCAGCCTATTAGTTAAAAGTTCAAGTGGGCATGAAAGTAAAAGGCCAGGGATCCTCTGAGAACATGGGTTTTAAGACTCTTGGTATTTTTTTTTTAAATTAGACTTCCACTATGTGGTTCTGGGAAATTGAACTCAAGTCATCAGGTTTGGCAGCAAATCCCTTTACTGGCTGACCCATCTTTGGAGTTCATACATGAGATTTTGTTAACATTTTCTGTATCTTTTAATACTCCAACTAATTAAAGTTTTTGTTAAATAATTAGTGGTTATATATGGCCAAGAGACAATAACACTGGGAGGCTACAAGTACCTATATGCCCACAAGCATACACACACACACACACACACACACACACACACAAATATACATGTATACACACACACACACACAAATACACATGTATACACACACACAAATACACATGTATACACACTTAAAGACACATTTTGATGGTTAGCATTAAAGATCCACTTGATAAAACTAAGAATCACCTGGGAAGAGAGTCAACTGAGTCTTTTGTAGACTGGCCTGCAGCATGTCTGGAGGAGATTGTCTTGGATGTTAATTGAGGTGGGGTTACCCACTCTGAATGTAGTCTACACCATCACATGTGTGGGCCCTGAACTATGTAGTGGAGAAGAAAGCTACTTGAGAACCAGAAGGCTAGAAAACTACATTTATTCTCTTTGCTCTTAGCTGTAGCTACAATGTGACTATTTGAGTTCTTGCCTTGACTTCTCTGAAATGAGGGATGATAATCAGGAATCATAAACTACATAAACCTCTTGTTGCCAGATTTTTTTTTAATTTTACACAGCAACAGAAATTATACTAGAATACACACACACACACACACACACACACACACACACACACACACACACACAGAGGCACACATACATGCATATGTACATACAGAAAGTAATTAAGTATTGATTTTACTTCACACAGTTGATACCTCATCAGCAACACAGAGCTTGGCAAAGGCAATTCCAGACCCTTACTGTGTGGCTCTTCCTTGGTGACTCCACACTTGTAGTCTATCCCAGACCGTGGGGCTTAAAAGCTCTATTTACAGAGAACCCATTCCTGGGCACGTGCAGGGAGAACTGACTCACCTCATAGTCGATATCCAGGACATCGGTCTCCCCCTTGGTCCGGAAGTGTTGCGTGTTCGTGTCCACAGTGAAGTTCGCCTGCTTGCCCACGCGCTCCAGGAGAACCGAGTGCCAGTGCTGGTCATCCAGCAGGCTACCCAGCACGGCAGAGGGCGCGATGCTGCTGAGTCGGGCTTTGCTGTCATCTGCAGAGGGAGGAAGGCAGGATGGATTCTTAGCCCAGGCAGCTTTGAATCCTGCCCATCAATAGCACTGAGAACCAGGTACCTGAGGCTTCTTCAAACAAACCCAGTGTGAACTGTTCCTCTGCAGTGCAGACCACTGGGCCTTCTGCAGGGGTCACACATTCCCCTTAGATTCTAGTTCCTCTGCAGTGCACACCACCGGGCCTTCTTCAGGGGTCATGCTTTCCCCTTAGATTCTGGTTCCTCCACAGTGCACACCACCGGGCCTTCTGCAGGGGTCACGCTTTGCCCTTAGATTCTAGTTCCTCCTCAGTGCACACCACCGGGCCTTCTGCAGGGGTCATGCTTTCCCCTTAGATTCTAGTTCCTCTGCAGTGCATACCACCGGGCCTTCTGCAGGGGTCAAGTTTCCCCTTAGATTCCAGAACCCAGTTCTATATCAAATGATAAACACCTCCACTCCCCCCACACACACACCAAAAAAACCCGTAATGTTTCTGGGACACCAGCAATTGCTTGGTTACAGGAATGCTTATCTACTTATCGTATTGGCCACAAGAATAAAATTAAAAGAGAAGTTTCCACGTTTAGAAAAGCATAACTAAATTTACAGACACATTATTTTTAGTATTATGAATGAAGAAAGCAGATTGTGAAACAGCTGGGAGGAAGCCAGTGATGATACAGAGTATGTCTGTGCACATAGGAGCAGAGAAAGACATAACCATTCCAGAGGCAACTGTTGAGTGCCTACTGTTTGAACTGACTCCTTCCACCAAAAGGGTTCTGGCTGCCAACACCACACAGAATTTGTCTCAACTTTAATGGGAAACTATCATTACTGACACATAATTTTTTAATTCTTCATAAACTTCACGTATGTGTGCATGCATGTCCAAGTGCTCATGAATGCTTTCATGTGTATAGAGTTGGTTCTCCCTTCCATCATGTGTGTCTTGTACTATAATTCTGGCCATCAGGCTTGGCAGCAATCACCTTTATACACTGAGGCATCATTTGGGCCCCTGAAATAAAATTTTATTTTGAGAGAATAGTTTCTGTTCCCACCCCCTCAGAATACGACAGCTAAGTGTATCTCTTCGCTTTCTTGCACAGTGCCATCCTTGGCCCCACCTGTACTCATCTGTGCACAGGTGACATTCAGGGGTCAGGGGAAGTTAATATCCCTGTGGGCTGCTCACTCCTACCTCTGGTATGACCTAATGGTGCTGTTTGTCTCACTGAGTAATGATGTCTAGCTTCCTGCTAAAGTTGGAGTGAGGATGCCCCACTTAGCATACTTGAAAAGCAGGGCTGGTGAATTAATGTCTGATTCTGTTTTGTTGATTTACTACTTGTTTATTTTATAAGCCTTGAATTCTCACCATTGTCAGATTATGCTAACGCCTTAATAAATACCTCCTTCTCTTTTTCCTGCCATTCCTTCCGCCCTTCCTCCAAAAGACATTGTGATCGAGCAGTACTAGTCATGGTCATATAGAAAGAAGATGTGGACGGAGGTGGAGCTCTCTCTTTCCAGAGTTCCAGTGTTGGTGTATTCCAGCCATAGTAGTTAGGACGGATGAATATATAAACACAGACAGAAGAGGAAGTACACAGAAAGAGGGAGTGTCCACCCAGCTTGAAGGAACTGGTGCCCAGACTGAGGGGTGGCAGAGACAATGGAAAGGTCCCTCAGCAGAGGAGAACTAGCTGAAAGAGCTGGCTGAACCCTCCAGGACCCTGTGTACAAGGCTGCTGCACTAGATTAACACTGAAAGAAGTTTAGATGAGCAGCAATATATGATTTGACATTCGCTGCCAGTTCAGCTCCTTTAAAAATTATGCCAGCTTAACCTCCTGCTATAATTATGAGTGTCTGATGTTATTATATTTCTGAGTAATTTTAACACATATTTCTTTGTTTAAGTGTGTGTGTGTGTGTGTGTGTGTGTGTGTGTGTGTGTGTGTGTGTGTGTGTGTGTGTTCATGCCACAATGTACCTTTGGAGGTCAAAGTCAGCCTTCAACGCCAGCCTTCACCTTTCATCTTGGTGCAGCCAGGGTCTCTTGTTTGCCCCTGACTACCCCTGACTAAGCAGCCCATGGGATTCCGGAGAGTCTCTTATCCTTGTCTCCCATCCCGCGGTAAGAACTGGGGTTATAGAGAGGCTGTCTTTATGCCGATACTGGGGATGCAAACTCAGATTCTCACACTAAGGTGGCAAACGCTTTACACATTGCACTACCTCCCTCAGCCAATTCATGTGCATTTCTCTTGGCATGGATAGAGATAAAAAGAAACCTCTTCGTTTTTATTTCCTTTTTGTGAGCCATGTTCTCTGACCTTTACCCATTTGTCTTTCCAACAATTTGCATTTAGTCCATTTTCTGTAATATACATCTTGAGGGTACCTTTCTGTTCTCTGACTTTTTTGTATGTTACTTTTTCTGTTTTATTTTAATACTGAAAATATTTTTCTGTTGAAAATTTATTATTTGAGGACTGGGGAGATGGCTCAGCAGTCTAAGCACTTATTTTGCAAGCTCAGGGCTCAGAATTCAGATCACCGACCCTAGTGAATGCCTGGCGGGTGTGCTGGCCCAGTGTAACTCCAGTCCTGGGGGTGGAGACTGAGGATTCCCGTGCAAACTGGCTACTGAGCTCTGCATTTGACTGAGAGACCCTCCCTCAATGAGTAAGGAGGAAGAACAGTCCAGCATGATGCCCATCACCTGTGGGCCTCCACATGCAGGAACACACAGGTGCACCTGCACCCACATGTATGTTTTCCCACACACATGCAAGAGTAAAACCCCAGATTTACACATCTACCATGCTCACATATGAAAAATAGAAAAGAAAAAAAAAAAAGAAGTACAATCATTTCTCTTCTCTTTAACAGTCCATCTCTGCTTTGAGATCACAGAGAAAATCTCCAAGCGTATTTCACCATTCACTCACTGTGAACTTAGAAACCCGGTTCCTGCATTCTGTGGGAAGGAAGGCGGTTGGTGCTAGCTGAACCTCACCTGTGCGCTGTCTCAGATGAACTTCTTAAGCAAACTTGGTCACCGAGGCTCAGACACAACAAGCTGTGCTGTGAAGCTGAAGTCGGGAGGTTAGACAGGGATCTTTAAGTCCTGGCCCTTTAACCTAGTCATCTACATTCCTGAAATGTATTCTATGGCAATAAATTAATATGTGGCTGAAAAAATACTAATGATTTAAAAATTGGAGATAACGTTCAGTAATTGGGGAGAGATTAAACATACACGTAAAATCAACAAAAGGTTATTAGAGAGCTGCTGAAGTAGCATTTAGGAAGTTCTCATTGCATTTTTAAGTATTTATGAGTGAAAACCACAGTGTTAGATAAAACTAAAAGTGACAGCTCACAAATAAATTGTCCAACCACTTAAAATTCCTAATTTATGATATATAGAAGTAAAATAGAAATGTGTAAATGCATAACTAAATATAACTATACAAAACACTATAAACTCATTAAGTACAAAAATTTGCCACATCCAAAAGATTTTTTTCTTCTGTGTTTTACAGTTAGAATAACTATTTTAGTATCTAGAAAGAACACTATTAAAATATATTATTAATCCTGTGTGAATTACTGAATGCTACCTGAATTACAAGGAATTTTATGTGTGTGTTTCTTTGGTGGCTGCAGGATAAATTCAGAGTCTTGAACATGTTGACCAGGTTCTTAATACCATCTACCACTGAGTTATGTCCATACTCACACGTTCAGTTTTTATTACATGTGCTTACTGATTTATGGGGATAGTGTGAGTATTAGCATGCAATGATTGTGCATGTGTAGACCAGAGAAAAAGTTGTGGGAGCTGGTTTTCTCCTGCCACCTCCTGGGTCCAGGGTTTGAATTCAGGTTGTCAGCCTTGGCAGCAAGCATCATCACTCACTGAGCCAGCTCACCAGCACACAAGTCTATTTCTTAACTGGTTCCAAAAGCAGAAGATAGGAATGAATTCCATCCATTCCTTCTTTGGTTATTTTTTCACTAACACTCAGATATCCTACATTAAGGCAAATAAAAATTATCTGATAAAATAAACGCAGAAAAAATTTGTTATTTGAGGGTTCATAGCTTGGAATTGTATTGATGAAGAAAGAACAATCATTTAATGAAACCTCCCTAGAAATCTAGACTGTTGTTATGGAAACCGTAGAAAACACAATTCTCAGTGCCCTATCATAGTCTTTATCTCAGGACACCTGTTTCCAGTTTTATCTCAGTTGCATTTGATGTTCAATTATCCCATTGTAACAGATTTTCAGTTTATTAAGACAAGATAAAAATCCTCATGAACAGCTGAGAAGAATACAAATGAAATCATGAGGAAGAAGTTGGCTTTGGGGCCAGAAACATAAAGAAAATTTTTTTAATTAAATGGAACTTTTTTTTTCTATTTAGTTTCAAGATGATGTAAGTACTACCTAAGCCTTATTGGAACAAACATGGGGAATGAGTGTTTGTACTTTTAAAAGATTTATTACTTTTAGAATTTTTAAATTTTTATATGCATGAATATTTTGCTCACATGTGTGTTTGTGTACCATGTACATGCCTATAGCGGTTAGAGGAGGCCACTGAGTTCCTTGGAACTGAAATCATGGATCAAGGATTGGGAACTGCTATATGGGTCCTGGATACTGAATCCAGGTAGTCTGTAAGAGCAAATGTGCTTTTACCTGTCCAGTCATCTCTCCAGCAGGCCCTTAAAGATTTATTTTTTTAGCATTTGTGTGTGAGCGTGTGTGTTTCTGTATCCATGAGTATATATGTGCAGTTGAGTGCAAGTGCCCATGGAGGCCACAACAGCACCCTCAATCTTCTGGAGCCAGAGTTACAGGCAGTGTGTGTGTGTGTGTGTGTGTGTGTGTGTGTGTGTGTGTGTGTGTGTGTGAATATATAGGTGCAGTTGGGTTCAGGTGCCCATGGAGACTATAGTAACACCCCCAGTCTTCTGAACCCAGAGTTATAGGCACTTGTGAGCCTCTCCATGTGGGTACTGAGAACTGCATGTCCATCCTCAGCTCTCTTAACCACTGAGTCATCTCTCCAGCCCCAATGTTTACATTTTTTAGCTTCATCTTTATTTTCATTCCTTCCCCTTATCCTCAGAAGGATAGCATGGGATAGCTGGGCAGAGAGCTCCAGGAATCTACCTCTTTTTGCCTCCCCAGTCCTGGCGACACAAGTTTGTGCTACCATACCCAGTCTTTTTGGATCCTCAGGTCACACTCAGCTCCTCATTCTTGAGCAGCAAGCACTTTACCAAAGACCCATCTCTCCAACCTTGTCAAATTTCTTACAAAGGTAATACTATTTATATCATTTTGGTATTTTTAAAGATTTATTTTAGTGTGTGTGTGTGTGTGTGTGTGTGTGTGTGTGTGTGTGTGTGTGTGTATGTGTGTGTGTGTGGGTGTGTGTACCTATGAAGGCTAGAAAATGGCATTGGATCTCCTGGAGATAGAGTTATAGGCAGCTCTAAGCTGCCTGACATGAATCCTAGGAACCAAACTTCAGTCCTCTGCAAGAGTAGGAAGTATTCTTAACCACTGGGCTATCTCTCCAAACTCCCCCATATATTGTTTAAAAAAGAGAAGTTAGTTTCAAAGAAGGTGTGTGACTTACACAAGCACACAGAGAACTAGTTACCACTTAGCTCTACCTGATCCCAAGCTAAAATTCTCTGCATTCTTCCTGCTGGCAAAAGGATGACATTCTCATTCTTCCCCATCACTGTGTTTTAACCACTGCATTCAGTTCTACTAGTCTGTTGTTTGTGAGCAGTGTTGCAGAGCAGGAGTGGTGGGCTTCAGAGAAACTGCATGAATTGGAGAACAGAGAGCTATGCTGAAGGAAGATGGTGAAATACAATGGCAGAAGGACATTACATAGAATGCCAAGGCATAACTCCATAGGTTAGCTAGGACCAGAAAAGCATGACTCTGTTGCAGTTTTTTATTATAGGCAGGACTCATAAGTGCTCTCCTAAAGATGCAAGTGAGAACACTAGAACAAGGGAAGTGATTCCAGCTGGCTTGATCCCACCCCCACACCAGCTGCCCTCTCAAAAAGACAGGCCAAATCTCTGGGTATCACTAAAGCAAGGAAGTACAAATCTTTGTCTTAGGACATCCAGTGTGGGTTGCTCCATCCTTGCTTATTACTGGTGTTCAACTCCTGTGACTTTGCTACCATATAAAGGTGTTCTCATAGTGAGTTTATGTGACATGGTTTAGACAGTGCATGGGTGCTATGTTTTAATTAAGATTACAAAGCTTGGAGATAAGTAGAAATATTTTTAAACCAGGGACTGACAAGTACAACATTTAGACCAATAGTGGTAATCCCATTGCTTAGTTGCTGATAGGTGATAATTAATATTTACTGACAATTTTACAGGATCTAGAATCACCTAGTAGACAAACCTCTGGGCATGTCTGTGAGGGAGTTTCTAGACTGGGTTGAGGTAGGAAGACCCATCTTAAATGTGGGCAGCAAGTTTTCATGGACTTGACACCAGGAGAGAATAGGGAGGAGAAAGTTTGGTGAGCACTGCATTCATCTCTTTCTGCTTTCTGACTGCAGATGCAAAGGGACCAGTGGCCATAAGCTCTCTTTGATATGTCTAACCCACCATGATGGACTGAGCCCTTGAGTTATGAGATAAAATAAATCCTTCCTTCCCTCAGTTGTTTTTGTTGGGTATTTGGCACAGCAACTGGTAATCGATACATAGTTTAACATATGCTTATTTCATAAGTTGCAGAATTTATGAAGTCAGCCTGGGATGCATGAGACTTTGTCTCCCAATAAAATAAAAAAATACTGTATAGGACTGTCATGTGACATAAAAAATATACATATGCACATATATATTTAAGTGCCTAGATTTAGACTCTCAAAAAGTAGAAAATTGGAAAGAAATGCCTTTTAGAAGACTTGATGATTATTCTCTAAATACGTGTTAGTTGGCTTAATTAAATGCCTGAAATTCGAAGGAGCTATAAAATGAATGGTCACTGATCTCTTCAGAGTTTGAGAAACTCACCATTGTCTTGATAAATTGTCATGCAGGCAATGACTTTAGCTTTTGAACCCTGCACCTAGCCCCCAAAGGACACCCAACTATGCTAGTTTTCTATGATAAGATTCTCACTGTTCTACATCTGCATGTGCTGGAATCACCCAACATTCCACTTCAGTTCAAAGACATTAAACTCTTGTAAGGATGAGTAACCTGCATGCTCTGTTGATGTCCTGTTCAGTACTTAACAACAGATCCCCAGTCACACAATTCTTCGACTCTTTGATTGTCCACCTGCCTGCATGGTTCTTACCTTTTTATTTCTATAGAGGGCAGATAGCCATGTGCAATTGAAATGAAACCCTTGAATGCTGGGATGGGAGCCACTCTACCCCCATGGACTGAAGAGGGAAATCTCATGCCTAGTTAGTAATTCTAAAAAAAAGTCTGTGCTCCACCCTTGGAAAGTAGGACGATGGCAACTACCTCGTGAAATTTCACCACAGAACCAATTCTGCCTTCAAAGGACACAGCACTGATAACTAGATAATACAAACTGCTACTTGAACAACAGTGTGCTATGTATGTCTCCAGTTTACCCCTTTCCTTTCTTTCTTTCTTTCTTTCTTTCTTTCTTTCTTTCTTTCTTTCTTTCTTTCTTTCTTTCTTTCTTTCCTTCTTTCTTCCTTCCTTTCTTTCTTTCTTTCTTTCTCTCTGTGTGTGCCAGAGGTCAATCTCTAGTGTTCTTCAATTACTCTCCACCTTATTGTTTTGGAGTTTTTGTCTATTTGTTTGAAGCAAGTTCTCTCACTGGCTTAGAACTCACCAAGCAGGCTATGCAGATGTCTAGTGATCCCAGCGGGCCTATGTGTCTCTGCTTCCCAAGTACTAGGAATACAAGCATGCATACCACGTCTGTTTTTTTATGTGGGTTCTGGGGATTGAACTCAGGTTCCTATACTTGCATAACAAGAAAGTTAGCAACAGAGTGATCTCTCCAGCCCACATTTATTATTTCATCTTCTGTGTTAGGCATCAATTATATGAAATAATCTTGGAAATCTATAGGTTCTTCCTACTTCTTTTCCTTATATTCACCACGAGGATGCTTGGCGTTGTCACTGAAGAAGGACCAAAATTAAGACCTACATTGTTTGCTGTTGGGAGTGAGGTTGCCCAATGGAGAGTCTCATGTTCTTTTCCTGATGACTAAATACAGCTTGCTCTGATGTCACCTGTGTGCTTTGAGCTTGTTCCCAGTATTTATATTTATATTTATCCTTCTTGCCTACTTGATAGTAAATATAAATAACAACGTACTTCCTCTCCCTTATATGAATAAATATTAAGTGGGAAACAGGAAGGGATTTTCAGACAAAGCAGCCTGGTTGAGGCCCAGAAGGTTAACGGCATATGCCATAGAGCCTGATGACTTGAGTTCGATTCCAGAGATCCACTTGGAAAACAGGGAGACCCAACTCCTTCTAGTTGTTCCCTGACCTTTATACTGTGCACACTATATAACCACATACAAATAAATGGATGTCATTAATTTAAAAAGCCACTTTCTTCTCCCTCCAGCATCTGTCTTTTCTGTTTGGATTGTCTAGAGGAGGGCTCCATTGGTTGTCTTCCATGTTCTGAAGAACTCAGCACCTACCTCCTGTGGCTTGCCTAGTCATTCCTTTCTTCCATAAGAAGGCATAAAAGGCTCCCTCCTTTCTGTTCTAGGGTGAGAAGTTGGGTACCATGAAAGTAGACCTACTGGTAGTGTGGGAAGCCCAGGGAGTAGCTCACCCACAGAGGTAGGCAGCACCCTGCCACAGGGAGGCAAAGGTACTCTTCACTAAATCACCTGCCATCCAGGTCTCAGGCTCATTCTTCCAGGCCAGGCTGTCTTAACAAAGGAAAGCCTAGTGACTTAGGTTTTCCATTCATACATTTTACCTCCCACTAAGAAGAACAAAATGATTACATGTTTCTCCTGGCAGTTTTTTTAAAATGTGCCTAATCAGCTCAAATATGAGAAGCTCATTATAATAAGTACATGTTTAAATTTTTTTAAGTTACTTAAAAGTTTGAGTTCTGGAAAAATTCATGTTAAGTATGCACATTAACAGATATTTAAAACTTATACTGTTGCTTCCCTTATATAGAAATATTGTCTTTTATCACAGAATGATACCTCTGGCAAAAAATAATGAAAATAAGTGCTGTTCGACCCGCATAAAGATGAAGTATCTGAAAATAAGTACTGTTCTAATCCCATAAAGACAAAGGAAATAGATCGCTTAGATAGTGCTCCAGTGACTCCATTTGCTCAAAGATGCACCCATGCATGGTATAGTGACCTTGTGCAAAAATCAGGGAATATGAACACCTGCAGACCTGAATTTGAATCCCTAGCACCCATATCCTAAAATGATATTATTAATAATAATGATAATAATAACAAAGTAAAATGTGTCTATGACCGTGAGTACTTAGCCCAATGATTGAAATAGGTGGATCTTAAAGAGCTTGCTGGCCACTCAGCCTAACCCCAAACATAAGCTTTTGTGTTGATAAGAGATCTTGTCTCAAGGCAATAAGTTAGAGAGAAAAGGGGGATATCTAGTGTTTTGCTTTCTCCTTCACATATGTGTGCACATATATGCAAACCTGTACATTCATGTGCACACAACACACACATGCCAAAATCAGTGAGCTACAAGTTCAGTGAGAGACTGCTACAAAAAAACAAGTGGGGGCGGGTGATAGCGGAAGACATCTGAGCTTCACCTCTGGCCTCAGCAGTCCTGAGTACATATGCACAAGTCTGACCCTACCCAGGTTCAGGTACAGGGCTAGCCTGCCCTTCTGGAGCTCCAGGGTAATATGGTCTCCACGTTGTCCTTCTCCATGGAACAGAACCCCATCTCCTTGCATGCTCTTGAACTTCAGGGAAATCACGTCTTTGAGGGTGCTCATCATCTTCTGATTGAACCTGTACAAAAGCGAGCTCCTGCCGTCAAAGTCAGCAACATCCGATTCTGGAAGCAGAGAGAAGAGAGAAAGAAATATCAATGTATTTCCTCATGTTATTCTTGCTTTGCATCTTTGGTGCTGCTCAGTTCACAGGAATGTTCCTGAAATCTTGAAGATCTCTTATAGGGAGGCACATGGAGTAGAACCAACCTAAGTAGAATACAAGGAACCATTCATTTGTAGGGAGTGGACACACACCACACTGAAGTAGAAACTCCCATCTGTGATCATCAAACAAAAGAAGAGATGATCGGCAACAGGTCCTGGAAGGGAGCTGACGCATAACTCCTTCCAATGGGAAATATGAAGTAAGAGAGCCTCAAGGCCATGGTTGTGCCTACAGACAGAAGGGATAGCATTCAACAGAAATAATACAATACATGGAGTCTAGATATGATTGGGGCCTTAGAGGAAATGAGGGGTTTGCTTTAAAGCCCTGGGTGCTTCATTAATATAAGAATAAGAAGGAGATATAATGAGAGAGAGAGAGCAATATATGCTGCTATGCATAGGACGCTGCCAAAGGCCAGAGGAGCCTCCACAGAAAGCAGCATTTAGAGCTCTCATGAAGGAATCTGTCTGAGGAGTCTTGGACCCAGCCTTGGAACAAATGGAAGGTCAAATATTTTATAACCTTTGCGGGTAGCAGACACACTGCTTCTTCAATTCTCTGCCCCAGCAAGAGCAGCAGCGAGCTGTGGCCTGAGTCGGGTCATGTAATCCGGGATAAAGGAGCAGGATCACGTTCTAACAGTGATGTGCCAGCCCGTGTTTGAGGAGGCAGGTTGACAGTGCCACAGGCACCGACATCAGGCTTTTGGACCAGTGCCTGTAACTTCTCATGATTTCCCCTTCTTGCTAATTTGAGTCTGACATTTAGGGCCATTTGATCTCTTCATCCTAAGCTCCAAGCTGGAGTTGAAAAAGAGTCACCCTTTATTTCGACAACTCTGGTTGAATAATTCAGTCTTTTCCAGAGCCCTGTGCTGAGAATTCCAAACGTTCTTTGGGATCTAGTCAAGAAGAATAGCCAGTGTATGGAGGCTGAAAATTTGAACATAGGAGTATTGTGGTATATATGCCTCGTTCTGGGCTGATAATGTACTATGTTTCATATGTTTCATGCAAGAACATTCAGTCACTATTATTATGTTTATTTTGGCATTTATTTTTATCTGAGATAGTTCTTTAGTTGGGACATAAACTTAAGTAAATGTATGTGATAACATGAAATCTCTCAATATGTACATACATTGTCTAATGTCAACTCAGAATAAGCATATCTAGTTTCTGAAACACAGGCCACTTTGTTGATTAGTATGGCCTGTTTCCTAGGCACACAACATATTCACCCCATTATGATCTCAGAGTAGAGATTAGCTCAGCCTCATAGCCATGGCAAATGCTGCAATATAGAGGTAGCTAGGCCGATGATAATGTGAATGGGGCTACTGACACCGCCTAATGACTGGAAGGAGGGGAGTGCACAGGACCCTCACCTGGAAGTGAAGCCATTATTCCTTTCTGCCCTCCCCAGCTGGCAGTGACCTTGTGAGACTCGAGTGTGTGGGGAGTGGAAGGGTAGGGAAGGGGACTCTGTGTGGCTTCCATGAGGTTGTCATCCACAAGAGGGTGAAGAGGCTGCTGTCCTCTCCTGAAGTTCCTTTAGTTAATCCCTCACCAAAGCTCTGTAAGTAACCATAGTCTATTTGTTTGTCACATTGGGCTTTTATGGGATTCTTACTTTGCTCTGTCTTCTATGCACTATCTGGAGTGAACAGACATTTGTTCACATCTTCCCAGGGACAGCTAACACAATAATTATGAATTATAATTGTGAATCTATCTGGCACACTATCATCATATATAGAATACCAGATCTTTATTTCATCCAACTTCAAATTAGTATCCTTTCGTCCCCATCCCTTTGTGCCAACACCAGCCTTTAAATCTCAGTTCTTTACTCTCAACTTTCTTGAGATCAACTTGGACAAATTCCATGCATGATATCATGTAGTATTTGGCATTATATACCAACTTCATTTCATTTAGCATACTGTCCCCCAGTTCTGTTAGTATGAAAGCCAGAAAGAGAAAGTCAAGAAATCGTGATCTAAACAATTTATGAAGATGTGTATAAACAAACTGATAAGGGTCTGTCAAAATATCCAGGGGAGAAATACTTGAGTGTGTGTGTGTGTGTGTGTGTGTGTGTGTGTGTGTGTGTGTGTGTGTGTGTATGTGTGTGTGTGTACACATTCATATACATGTATAGGTATGCAGATGCATTTGGATATGCATGTTGATGTCTTGTGCTGACACTGCATGTCTTCATTAATCACATTCTACCTCATTTTTGTTGTTGTTATTGTTGATAAAGAGGCTCATAGTGCCCAAGCTGCTCTTGAATTCACGACACTGCCAAGAAAGACATTGAACTTCTCATCCTCAGCCTCCATTTCCTGATTGCTAGAGATATAAGAGTGTACCATGTACTTGGTTTTACACAGTGCTGGGATCAGCTCCAGACCTTCTAAATGGTAAACACACTCTCTACTAACTGAACTGCCTCCCCAACTCCCATCTTTCACTGAACCTGGTTCTCAGCAGTTCAGCAGACTGTGTGGCCAGTAAGCACCAGGGATGCTCTTGCCTCCATCTCAAAGCTGAGATTACTGAAGCATGCCACTGAGCTAAGCTTTTTATATGTGTGCGGAATTCACGACACCATGCTTGTGTGGCAAGGACTTTGTCACTGGGCAACCTCCACCACTCCTTGGAGAATTATTGTAGATTACTTTCACATCCTTTCACTATTTTTATTACAAAAAAAAATTGTACTGTAAAATGTTATTACTTCTATTACACAAAAAATGTAAGACTACTTAATTACAGCTTGGAAGGGATTCATCATATACCATCTTAGCAGGGTGAACAAGAGGTGAAGGGCTGTGTGGACAGGATAGAATTATTCTTATTTAAAATCCAGAAGCCACAAAAACTCAATTTTCCAGCATTTACTAAGCAATTAAAATTCTCAGATTGAGTATTCATAATGATAACAATTATTTTTTCCTGTTAAAGGATATAGAATTATCCTTAATAAATGAAATTTTGAGAGAAAAATCAAGATTTTCTGTAATTACCTTGAAAGTAAAATTCCATAATTTACTATTTACATATACAGTTTTATAAACGTCCCTGGTGACTCCATTTTGTTAAACAAAACCGACAAGATTCGGGGAGTTTTTCCTAATCTCCTGTGCTCTTCAGAACCTTCTATTAGATGCCAGCACTACATCTGTGCACACTGTGCCCACTGGCCTTCTAGCTGAACCGGTGGAGCTCTTGACACTGTTGCCCTCTCTTGCACAGTGAACAACATCATAGCTACACAGAGCATGAGTGCAATAGCTTTTCAGCTTGATCACCTTTGCGATTTCGTCTCCTGAAGACTTAACTTCATCCATAAGACATATACATTAGAAACACGTAAAACATGTCCTTTAGCAAAAGACCCTTCAGGGCTGGGAAGATGACTCAAAGAGTAAAATGTTTGCTGTGCGTGAATGAGGACCTGACTGAGTTCAGATCCCCACCATCCCTTTAAATCAGCCAGGAGTACCTGAAATCCCAGAACTACGGAGACAGAGACAGGTAGATCCCTGGGGCTCACTGGCTAGCAAGTCTAGCCAAATAGGCAAGCTCCAGGTTCAATGAGAGACCCGTTCTCAACAATGAGGTATGCATGGGGCTGGAGAAAAGGGTCAGCAGTTAGGATTGCCCATTGTCCTTTCAATTCCCAGCACTCACATGAGGTGGTTAATGGTTGAGTATGACTCCAGATCCTAGTCACCCAATGCCTTCTGGACTCTGCAGGCACCTGCACACACATGTGCACATATGCCCCCCAAACATATACTCATAGTTAAAAGTAAAATAAAAATATTAAATAAATGACTGTTCAGAAACTGAGGAAGGCACTTGATCCAACTCCACACATATGCACACCTATGTGAGCATGTGCATGCACACACAAGCATGAACAAAGTGTTGAAAGAGTCCAGGCAAATTAAAAGAGAAGACTTGGAGGAGACAGTTACGATCATAATACATTGGAGACATGCTTGAAATTATCAGAAAGTAACCAAGGAAATAAATAAATAGATAGTCCAATAATTAATTATGCTAACACAAGTCACCTGATAACACATTAAAAATTAATACCATCTTACCAGGCACATTATTTGTTTTAAATCAGGATGAAATCAATTATCAATTATGATTGGGTTAAGTAGAAGGGTCTTGAGTTCATGAACTGATACTATTCCTATACCAAATGGTGCTGTTTTATTCTGGTGTCATGTTTTACTGCCCAGTGTGTGCCAGGTTGAGCTCAAGCTTCCTACTGAGCCTTTTTGCCACTTTCTCCAGTGCTGTTGAAATATACCACCTGTGCAGGTATGTGTATTATGGATTTCTTCTCTCTTCTGATTGCTGTAATCCTGCCAGTGTGGCAGCAATTGAAACTTTACTGCACCCATCAGTTCTTGGAAAGGTGAATGCAGGGTGAATATATACATAGGGAGACTGACCAGTCTCAAAAGGGAAAGCAAGGCCCAGATGTACAAAGGAAGCATCAGTATGCTGGTCCTGAATAGTACACTTGAGAAGACATGAACCAGTGTCACAGGGAGGAGTGAGCGGACAAAGAGCACATGAAGCTCAGTGATCAGACCAGGCTGTGGATGGCAAGAACTCTGTTGCCAGCATGCTTACTTACTACAGGCCATGATCACACCTAATCAGTAACTGCAAATCAACATTGTATTCACAGGTGCATCTGTGGTGGTATTGTGTTCCCCAAAATATTGTGTACCCTAATAAACTTATCTGGGGTCAGAGACAGAACAGCCACTAGATACAAAGGCTAGAAAATGGTGGCACTCACACCTTTAATCCTAGCACTCCAGAGGTAGAAATCCCTCTGGATCTCTGTGAGTTC